ATATATAATGTACAATATATTTAAATTTTATAACTTATATATATATAATATACATATAATAGTTATAAATATGAAGTTTATATATAAAGTTATATATAAAAAGTTTATATGTAAAATATGTTATATGTAATGTAAAAAGTTATATTTATATTTGTTATAAAGTTATATACGTATGGTTATATATATAACTTTATAACAAACATATAACTATATGTTATATATAATTATATATAGTATATTTGGTTATATATATTTATATATAAACACTTTAAGGTGTTTTATACTAGATATTTAACTTTAAAGTTTGTAAGGTGCTTTATATATTTTCCCATTTAGGCCTCATAATAATCCTGTGTGGGCTAGGAATTTTTATTCCCATTTTAAAGAAAAGGAAACTGAGACTCAGAGAAGTTAAGGGACTTGCCTGTGATCACAAAGGTAGTAATAAACATTGGTGGAATCTTAGTCAACAATAGTCAACAGACGTTTATTAAGATCTTATTGTATGCCAAGCACTGTGCTAAGCTCTGGGGTACAGAGGCAAGCAGGGGAGGTACCCAGTGGGGGATGGTGGAAGAGCCAAGGAAGTCCTAAGTGTGTGCTGCTCGGTAGGAAATGAGAGGACATCTGAGGAGATGTCAGTCCTATTTCTTATGCTTAAATAAAGCAGATATTCCTGATTAGCAGTCCAGCATTCTGGCCACTCTGTCATACTGTCTGCAGATGGGAGGGAAGAGGTTGGCAGATGTGGGCAGAAAGGTAGAGATAAGTCTGTTCATTATCTCTTGAATTAAATGTAATGCCATAAAAGACCCTTTTTTCTCCCACTTTAGATTCTCATCCCCATACCAAATCTAAGTCAGTAAGGCCTAAAATAGCTTATTCCTCCAACTGTCTGATTGTGATACAATCTACATTTAAATCTTAATTGCAATGATTAACTTATTAATGTGGGAAAAAAGGATTTCCTTAGAAGTCTGCTTGATAAGTGTCAGGTATTATTACTGAGTCAGGTGTAAACACCTTCAAACTCTGCTTTAAATAGGTTGTCCTTGATACTATAAGGTGAAGATTTTTAATGGCAGGTTTCATCCATTATGTATTATAATTTCTAATAACAACTTTTTTGGCCTAAATATTGTCATTCTGCTAAACTGGAGTTAATTTTAAGCTCGATGAATGGATTTAGATATTTGTAATTCCTTCCACATTCTAGATAATATAAGATACTTCATTCATTATATTCATTCCTATTTGGCATGATGCAAATTCTTCAAATATGGGGAAGATAAAGAAATAGAAACAACAGAAATAGAAAGATGGGACTCTGAAACTAACACAGATCCTATGGGTTAGGTCAGGTACAATGATTTTTTCAAAACATTTCAAGAAATGGACCTAATCATTTTTAATTCTCACTGACTGTATCTATAACCATCCCATCTGCTTAGGACTTTTGTTAGGGTAGCTAGCCCAGTTTGTTTCAGACTTCTGCTAGTATTTCTTTAAATTCAAACTACAATTCAAGTCATCACCCTCATGATGGCATTGGTCCTCTTCAAAGAATGCAGGACAAACAACATTTTACTGACCTTCAAAGATTTTAATGAGTAACTGAAAAAGTTTTTGATGAGTCTTGAATCAAATTCTAAGGCAAGAGACATACCTTAAGAAATCCCTTTTCCATAGGTTTGGGATAGTTGCCGATAAAATTGCTATAGAGGAGGTGGCTTGCCTGAGGAAGAAGGTTGGACTAAAGGTAGTTCGAAAATATCTAACTGCCTTATCTAACTAACATCAGAAAAATGTAGTCTCTGGTGATGGGTGAAATAATAATAATTACTTAAACCTTGGAAAAATGTTAAATGTCTTTCTGGGTTCTAATATCTTTTCTTCTTAGGTCACAAAGCAAGTTACAAACCACTCCTTTCTTATCTTGCCATGTGTCACCTTCGTGAGACAAATAGGCTTCATTCCGTAGAGAAGGGGCTAGCCATCCCCACCAAGTGCCAACTGACTGACAATCCCAGGGCAGGTAATCAAGCCTTTCTGAAGTAGTAATATACCTAGCAGAAGAAACAGAAGACAGCATGTACCAGATGAATCAAACCACTACCACCATCTCTTCAGACATTGATGGAGACAGCCCAGGATACTGAATCCAAGACCCCTGTGAATAGCAGCATTGTCTAGACCACTGATTTGCTTCCAGCCCAGCCCCCCCAGCCATCATTCAAAGAAACAACCCTTGTAGAGATGTGACCAGGCAAGTGATTCTTCTGTCCATGTCTTATCAGTATTTATAATAACTGAAGACATGGAAAGGATAGTCTTTGCTATCAGAGTACTTGGCACTGTCAAATGGTTCAATATCAGAAATGGACATGATTTTTCCAACGGAAATAACATTAAAGGAACAGCTAGGTGGCATGGTAGATAGAAGGTTGGGCCTCTAGTCAGGAAGGCTTGAGTTCACATCAGACACTTAGTGGCTGTGTGATCCTGAACAACTCACTTAACCTTTGAGTGCCTCAGTTTCTTCACTTGCAAAATGGGGATAATAAAATAAATAAATAAAATAATAAAACCTACCTCCCAGGTGTTTGCAAGGATCAAATGGCGTAATATTTGTAAAGAGCTTAGCATAATTCCCAGCACATAGTAGGTGCTACATAAATGTTAGCTATTATTATTTTTACTTATTATTGAAGATATATTACCATTTGCTTTGTTGCTGTATCCTAACAAAAATGGGATCTTTCTATCTTACTGATAGTTGAAGCCTCCTGTATGTGTGTCCTCCTAGTAGAAAATGAGCTTCACAAAATCAGGGACCTACCTGCTTTTCTAATTGTATCCTTAGTTCTTAGCACAGTGGCTGCCATGTAGTAGGTACTTAATGAATACCTTTTTTTCATTTATTCATTCATCCTCATCCATTCATTAATTTTATCCAGTTGATTCATATTTAAAATTCAGAATTGCAGAGAAACAGTATTTAGGGCAGGGCAAGTGCTTGCCTTTAGGCACCTCTGAAGGATTATTTCTACCCTGTATGAGAGGAGAGTGGTTGTACTTCTCTTTAGCATCAGCCTTTTAAAGGAGACAGAGCCCAGGAACATCCTGTTCCACCCCCAACCCAACCCCCTTCCCAAAGATATCCTCCTTCTTGACCTGGCTGAAACATCTAGCTTCTTACACCTGAAAGATAATGGATTGGACTCTTTCTGAAAACCTTTTCAGCCTCCACACAAAGGATTTATACACCAGATATAGAATAATTTGAACTAAATCGTAGAGACAAGAGGACAAAAAAGTCCTGAATAGGCAGAAACCTTAACAATTTTAAAAGAGGCAGCGATATGCTGATAAATGTTTAACAACTAGTTCTCTGAAAAGGAAGATATGTACAACGTATGTTTAAGTTTAATCTGCATTATGCCCATTCTCTCTCTCTTTTTAAGAGAAGACTATCAATAAAATATTAAATCAAGCCATGATTGGTAGCAGTTACTGATTTGTGGGGTATAAATGCTTGTACTGAAAATTTAACAATTGGCTCCTGGTTTGAGAAGATTCTAATGCACTCATGCTTAGAGGGCTTACTCAATGCTGCAACCCCTTCCCATTCCCCCTACAAGCCTCCTATTCCTCCCAAAGTGGGGAGCACAAGTAGCACACAGGCTTGTGCTGCCCAGCAGGGACTTCGTAGGACCAAAGTGACTCTGCTTAAACACACCCGTAAGTTCCCTATCCCACCTGAAGCAGCAGGTGCTGACTCTGCCCAGCCATGTGCAAGGGAGAAAACAGAAGGAGGATTCTGCCAGAATGAAAAACATGCCTGTGTAGGAGGATGCTACAGACCTATAGGAAAGGTGATGAGAAACCTAGCTAGGACCAGTTCTGTGCCTCCAAAGGTAGTGACTCAGCTTAAATACTGCCCTTTACTTCAAAAGAAACAAGTGACTAGCCAAATGGGGGGGGGGAGAGGAAGGACAGTGAAGGGAGGAATCAGGTATGCTGAAAATCTATTGCTTTGCGACTGGACTATCAGCCCTAGGGTGGGAAATCCCAAGCCTGCAATACTCTGCTTGAAAACCTCTGCTTCTTCCCCTAACCCCTAATAAATGGCAGATATGAACCGTTCAGCCACATCACATAAAAGAAAGGAGCAGAGCAGAGGAAGAAATTGGGTAGATTGAGTACTTAGCCAGATGTCTGTGTCTGGCCCGAGGGAAAACCATTTGGAAACCTTGAAGGACCAGTCCCATGCCCCAGTGATTACTCAAAGCAGAGACCCGGGTTTGCAACTTCCAAACCCCAACTGAAGGAAGCTGAGTCAGCCCTGCACTCCAGTCTGGAAGGAGGGTGATGGTTCTATAACAGTCCAGAAAATGTTTGACAGGGAATACGAAAAAGAGGCTAAAACATCAAAGATATTCAATCAATAATGCGACAACCAGCATTTATTAAGTACTTAATTTGTGCTGGACAGAAAAAACCTCAATGAACTTCTAGCATACAAACTGATAAACCAATAGAGAGAATTCTAAAAATCAGAAATGAAAATGAGTAAAATGGCAAGGAGAAAGTACAGAATAATTTGCAAATAGCATATACTATATGTATATAATATTTTATAGTGTTATGTAGAGCCTGATGAAAAGCAGAACCCTATGGATACTCATAGATCATGAAAGAAACTCAAGAATAATTAAAAAAAACTCATAAAAGACACAATCAGGATAAATTTAGGTCAGAAATTAGAGCTCTTAATGCAAAAAAAAAATGGAATAGTCAAGACAGCATTAAAAAACAATGAGCAAAGTAGGGAAAATTGAATCCCTGATGGATAATCACATTTCCCTAAAGAAATGAAAGAAATAAACTTTTTTGGTGTGTCGTGGACCCTTTTGAGCTATGGGCCCATTTGCAGATATTTTTTGTTTGTTTTTAAGTGATTATTATTATCATTATTTTTTTTCAATAGGTTGTCCATATTACTCTTTTACTGCTATGGTTTGATCCAAATTGGTGGTGGGTGCCTCAGAAGGTTTAACCTCTTCTGCTGGGGCTGCAGGTTCCTGGGCCTTAGGTGTAGAGCTAGGGTCTTCCTCTGCTGCTGGGGTCTCCTTGGAAGAAGATACAGCTTTGCTGCTGCTAGGTTTTGAGTCTGAAGCTGGAGCCACTTCACTTTCAGTTTCTTGGGTGACAGGAGCTATGGAAGCTTCAGTCTTTTTGGCTTCCCCTTCCTCTTTGCTCTTGTCATCTATTTTACTAATTGCCGCGGCTTCTGAAGACTGGGAGAACTTTGCCTCAGTGCTAGGCACTGAAGTCTTAGAAACATCACTACTGGCCGCTGGGGCAGAGGCAGGAGCCTGCTCCAGCTCAGTTTCCTTCTGCTGCTCCACCTTTCCATCAGGAATAGCCTCTGGTTTCTCAGGCTCTGATTTCAGAGCCTTTTCTTTGCCAGCCACTGCATCCTTCTCTGCTTCCTTATCTTTAGTCTTGTTAGCAGTGGCCTGGAAATCTTTATTCATCTTCTCCTCTTTGTTGTTCTCCTTCACATCTGTGATCTCTGCCACTGTCTGGGTTTCATCATTCTCCTTGGGAGTTTCTTCTTCCTGTGCACCAGCTCCTTCAGCCTTCTTGTCTTTCTCCTTGGCTTTCTCATTGTTTACATTGTACCACTTCTTCTTGCTAAGCTTGCCTCCAATCTTTGGAGTTCTGGATTTGTTCTCTTTTCTGCCCCTTCGGTGTATGTTCAGTGTCCTCGGGGAGCCTGGGGCTGGGTGGCATGATGTCTCTCCCTGGCTCAAGAGCAGAGACTCGGGTGAGTGAGGGGAGCCCATTGGAGCAATGCCTCTGCTGCTACTATTGCAGAATACTTTTAAATGCATCAAACAAAATACATAGGATTGCAAAGGAATCTAATTAATTGGAATTCAGTTATCAAAACAAATTATGAATTCAAGAAAAAAGTCAAAGAAAGATGAACAGATTTGGCATAAAAAATAATGATGTGGAAGATAATTTTGGTGAAAGAGATCTGGCTAAAGTCTCTTAGACATTTAATCCTAAGAATGAAAAATGCAGGCATCTTTTAAAAATGTCTACATTTCTTAAAAGGTAAACAAATTTGCTCATTGTCAGTCATTACAACTTGGTATGAATTAATTTCTTCCTAAAAGCTAGCATGAAGGAAACGTAAAGTTTAATAGGGGGAGGGAATCTATTGGGAAATAAGGAAAGAATAATTTTGAAATCTGGGACTCTGTTCTTGGTGGAACAAGAGATTCAGGGAAGCTGTAAAGTAACATAAAGATGGTGGAAACTTGAGAAGAGTGTGAGAGGGATGCTGGGGTTAGGATCATCAACATGTAGAAAAGAGATACAAAAAGGGGAGCAGAGAAGGTATAGAAAAAGAACTTTGGCTAATTCATTTTTTTTCCTCCTAGAAAGAATGGTGGATCTGGAGTCAGAGATCCTGGGTTTAATCTCTGTTTTTGCCACGGTATGATCTTGGGCAAATCACTTAACTCTCTGAGCCTCAGTTTCATCATCTGTAAAATGAATGAATTTGACTAGATGGCCTTTTCTTCAAATGATTATCCTATTATTCTATTCTAAATGACCTCTAAATTCTCTTCCCTATACACACACACACACACACACACACACACACATATGTATGTATATACATATATGTATATATATATATATATATATATATATATATATATATATATATATATATATTCTATATTATTTGAACCTTTCCTTTCAAGTCTCAACTTCTTCCCACTATGTGAGCCCACAGTCTGTAATTTGTCAGTTGGAAAAATGCTTAGGTTCCCAGAAGTCAAGGGCACTCATTTAGCAATATATACATGTATAGAAATTGAAATACTCTTACTTATGCCTCATTGTGGCACAGAAGTGACCCCAGCTTCTCAAAAGGCTGTGCCAGGGAAGCAGTAACTCTGGAAGACTCTACCAAGCTACAAAAGCCTTTCAGGACAGGCCCAGTGATGGTTTGCATTCTTGTTGTCTGAGGACCAGTTTAGTTAAGTTTGAAGAGTTGGCTTCAGGGTGATCACTTTTTCAGCCCTAGAGAGTCTCAAAGATCATCTACTAAGGTATAAAATATTTGTGGACTGCATCTTTGGAAGGAGAACCTATACCAGATCCATAAGGATCATTTTTCATATCGACTGAAAGCTTCCCAAAGTGTGCCCAAGGCAAGCAGCATGAACTGAACTCTCAAGTCAATTTTACAAAAAAAAAAAAAGAAAGTTTTAAGGGGTCATAAGGGAAGAAAAGGGGAAGCAATGGAGAAAGAGGCCCTGGGACACCTGCCTTCATGAGTAAAGACCCTGGGACTTTAGGAGTAGAAGCAAGGTGTGAGAGGAAGATGGTAGCAGCATCTGGACAGCTACCCATTTGACTCTATTTTTGCTAACTAGGTGTTAAGCTCAGTTGTTTCTAGGAGGAGAGAACCTTGGTTATTGGATCCTCTTTAATTTCAGTGCCCTCAGGCAAAGTCCTGGATAGGCCACTTTAGGAAACATCTCTGACACAAAATTATAGAACCTTGAAGTAATCAAATATATAAACAGAAAATAAGTCTATGGCTCAGGGTTCATAAAGACCAGATCCAGTCTTGGGAGCTGACCCAGTAAAGAACCATATTTTCTCTTTGGTTTGTTATGAGACAGCCAAGTGGCACTGTGGAAAGACCTGCAGTTCAATCCTGCCTCAGATACTTACTAGCTGTGTGACCTTGGGCATGTCATATAACCTCTGTCTGCCTCAGTTACTTCATGCATAAAATGAGGATAATAATAGCATCTACCCCTCTTGGTTTTTGTCAGTATAAAATGAGATAGCATTTGTAAAGTACTTTATAAATCTTAAAAGTCTACAAAAATGCTAGCTATTGTTATTATCCCACCACCCTGGAGTTTACTCTGGGAAAATCTCCAAAATAAATTTTAAGTGTAGCTATAGCCTAGATTTTCCCAAATATGAGTAACAGAGTCACTTAGTTCTCATGCAAGCCTTCAGTATAATAAGTACATACCAAGTAAGAACAGCCTTTATATCACCCTGTGGAAAATGCAGAAGGTGCAAAAAGCTCACAGAGTTTCATCAACAGTATGAAAAACACATAATCAAAGGATTCACAGAGCTTTCACTGTTCCAGGAGTCCCTTTCTGACTCAGCAGAGACCCTCTCAGGGCTTAGATTCCTCTACAAGGGAAACTTTTTTAAGCTACTTAACAGAAATACCTCTTCTATCAAACTATTGCTGTTTAAGGAATTCATTGTAATAGTGGAGAAATGGCAAAGTGTAGATCTTTTGTTACCCTTTCCAACCACCTTGAAGAAACTTTAGTCATTCTGCTACAAAAACCATGATCGTGATCCAGTTCTTTCCCCAAGGTTAACACTTCTCAGGAACTATCGAGGCAATCCTTTTCTTTTTCAAGATGCCTGAAGATAGAAACTCTAAAATTTGGAGTTACTTGCAAGGTAACCCCCATGGCTGAGGCCACCCAGGAAATCTCCCATTTCTGGGAAGTATGCTAGATTCTGAGACCTCTCTAGGATATTAGGATTTTGTCCTCTGCATCTCTTTGTTTACTCTGGAATTTGGGGTTTAGGAGATAGTATCATTCAGGAGAAAGAATACTGGTTCTGAAGTCAGAAGATCTGAGTCCACGTCTTACCTCTGACACTTAGAACCTGTGTGACCTTGGACAAGACATTAAGAATGAGGGGATTGTACTAGATAGCTTCTGATGTCCAGTTTTAGCTCTAGCACTGTGATCTAATGTCTTATATACTTTTATATTGCTGCTCTACATTCATTTTGGGATGGTTTTCTGTCTGTTTGTGGAGGAAACCTGGAAAGCCTGGAAGTTTCTGACCTACTTCGCCATTTTCCATAATCTTTCTTTCCACAAACTAGCTTTCAGGTGACTTTCAATTACATGTCTACCTCTATCATTTACTTCTGCTAAAAAGTCACCATCAACTGCTCTAGGGGGAAGAAAGGAATAAATCTCTTACTCACCTTCCCTGGAAGAAAGGTACAAATGAAAAGACTGAAAAGGAACTAAAAAGGACCTAGTTGTTCTGTTGGACATTGGAGAGGATCAGCTCCTCCTATAATTCTGTTCTGCGTCCTAGCTATCTAATCATCTTGGAGGTAGCCGCAGTCACTAAAGACCAATAAAGAGCTGTCTGTGTCCTCTAAATTTTAGAGGCTAAAAGAAGGCACCATTGGATATGTCCATGCTCTCCATGGGAAACTGCCTTTCAGGTGCCTCCAGACACAGCCTGTTGCCCATCAAGTTAATTGTAGTTTACCAAGTTGATCAGAGACCCTTTGATCCCCAGCCCCTTCCTTTCCCCTTACACACAGAAACCAAAGTATAGAAAGGTTTCTGTCCTTTGAGATGAACACAGAGAGAGAACATTGAGTTCTGATGCAGAACCCATTCTTGTGTTCACCACATAGAAATTTACTAGCACATCTGTTTTATTCATTTGTTCATTTATTTATCTCTGGACTTTTTAAAAAGGACTGAACTGGATTTATATTTTATTTTATTTTTGTTCTGCTCAAGTCTGGTAAATAAGGCATAAGGGCTACTGCTTGGTTGACCTGTCTGTCAAAAGGCTTATTTCATACTCTCAGTCCATTTAAGCCCCAAGATGGATCATTTGGACCTGGCCAGTAAGTGAGTTTCTGGTTTAACTAAATGTGTAATCTCTGCAGAAGCTCTTCATAATTCTTCAGAGCTGCACTGGTGACATTTCTTATTTTAACAGCGTCAAATTAAGACCAATTTGTTTTACTTCATTTCCTTGTTGTGTACAGTTATGGGTTCTTCCAGCCTCCTTTTGGGAAGTTAACCCACAGCAGGGAGGCACTTGTCACAAGGTGACTTTATCAGCAGTAGTTTCTCCTCAGTGATAGAATTGGCTCACCTGCCAGCTTCAAATGGCTTCCCCCAAACGAATAATGGTCACCTCCCACCGAGATCTAAGGCAGCCCCCTCCATCTTGGAATCTGGCCAAAACGAAACTGCTGTGATACAGAGCTAGGCACTCTGCTACAGTCTCTGATGTGGAAATGGGACTTTAAAGCGCTCAGCAAATCTTCCCTAATTTGAGCCCCTCTTATATAAGCTATAGTCTCTAGTTATAAAAGACCAATTTGTTTGTTTTTTACAACACAATGCTAAGAGATAATTTGGTAGGAGGAATTTTGAATGGGATACGGATTTCCCAACTAGATTCATACATTAATATAAACATTATAGCAATAGGATTAAAATTTCAATTGTTTAGAAATATTAAGTTTCTTGTCCGTAGTTATACATTTGGTACCAATAAAACACACACACACACAGAGATTATGTCAAGCGAGATATATATATATATATACACACACACACACACACACACACACATACATATATAGTTAGATTAGATATGTAAATATATGTTTGTGTGTAAAAATACATACACATCCAACCCACTCACACATATATAGTACTTTCCAAATTTTAAAGCAAGATATGAATGCTATTATTATTATTATTGTTGTCATTGTCTTATAAAAGTGCCTGAAAGATTAAGTAACTTGTCCCTGGAGAGCTCTCTGACCTGAAACTCTTCTTTCCTGATTGGTGGGTATCTTCATCCTCAGGGCCAACATTTTAGGAAGGACACCAACCAGCTTGGCCTCATTTACACCAAGACACACTCTCTCTAGACTCCTATCCTTCTACTTCTCCCCCTTCTCCTCTTTCCCTTCAGCATTGTCCTCTGGGAGTAC